TTTTTTATCTTTTCATTTTTATATTTATTACTTCCTTGACTTTAATCTTGATCTTTATTTGTATTCTTTTCTAAATATTCACCCACACCTTTGCTATTATACTAAGTATTTAAATTTACCTTCGTCTTTACTTCTATTGTAATCTCTGCGCTTATCCCTTTCTACTTCTACATGCTCAATTTTTCCTTCTTCCTTGTTTGAGGCTTAATCTAGTCATGTACATACATACAGCTTATTCCTAAACTGCTGCTTAGCACGTTTTTGTATCAATATTAAAGCATACATTTAGAAGGCATTTCCGGCCCAGCCATGTACATGTATGGCATTTGTATTGGTGTCACTTTTGAATTGGTAATTTTCGCCTTATGTTAAACTAATTTAAAATTTAAGAAATTATTTGCACATCAGCATCAAAATACCTTTCTAATGATATATAAATGTTTATACCTTGGAAGTATAGTTTAGCCATAAAAGGGGTGTAAAAGAAACATGATTGCCTATTTATATATAAGATATAAGATCTCTCCTTATTTCTTACGACTATAATTAGTCATTGGTGTGCGCTGGGTTTGGAATCCAATAAAAGATGAAATAACGTCTCGGATGAGATCCTTTTCTTTTGATGACGACCACGACAAATGAACAAGGGACTACGGTTTAAGGGAATGTACCTAAAATTTCTTAGCCCTTGATAGGAAAGACTGAAACCACCGCTATACAAGAAACACGATGGACGCGGCAAGGTAAAAATTATGTTGGGGTCTGCGACAGCTGCAAAATAAATTATCGCAAATTAGCTTTTGGATTTTTAGTGGGGAAGAGACTTCGCCAACAAGTAGTGCCGTTCGCATCAGTGGACGATTGTCTCGATATAATCCAGATGAAAGCCAGATTCTCCCAACATCTCGCTCATTTGCGCCACACTCCTCGAAGGAAGAGAAATACAATATAATCAAAAATAACTTGTATGAGCACCTAACATAAAAATCGTGTGTTGCCACTTCGATGCTAGGGAGG